CCCCCCCCCCGCAGGGCCCCCTCGCTGCCCCCCCCCCCCGAGCTGCCCCGCCGGGGGGGCCTGGAGCTGGGCGTGGGGTCCCCCCATCCCACCGATGACCCCCAGCCCCCTGCCCTCCTCCCACCCCCATCTTGGGGACGAGCCTCCCCTCCCAGCCCCGGGGCAGAGGAGCGGATGGACTGCGGCCTCGACAGCCCCGAGCCGCCGCAGCCCCCGCCGCCGCCCCCCCCCAACAGCAACTTCATCCGCACGGCGTCCACGGGGGCCCGACCCTGGCAGCCGGAGCCCCGAGCCCCCAACGGGCTCCTCTTCAACAACAACCACGTGGTGGTCAGCAAACCCCTGACGTGGGGCAGCGGGCTGGAGCACGGCTTCTCCGAGCTCAGCATCCCCTGCACGGCGACGCTGGAGCGGACGGAGCGCACGGCCATGCTGCCCGGGCACAGCTCCGTCACCGTGCTGGAGCAGGACGAGGTGCTGCCCTGCCCCGGCTGCTGCCTGGGTCCCTTCAGCTTCGCCTCCGTCTGCCACCGGCCGGCACCCAGCCCGCCCCGCTACCAGAACCTCAACTGCGAGGCCAAGAGCCTCTGCCACGACCGGGGCCACCACCAGAAAGCCTTGGGGCCGGTGTTGGCGGAGCCCAGCCTGAAGCTGCCGGAGGCGCAGTCCTAGTGCCGGGGATCCTTGGGGAGCAGGGATGCGTCCGGCTGCCCCTCGGACCCCCAGCCCTCGGCTGCAGGAGATCGGTGCGTCCGTGCAGTCTGTCCTTGCGTTGGTGGCCCTGGTTGCCCCCGTGCCGTGGCTACCACGGCGCTGCCCAGGCGCTTGGGTGCCCATCCCACTGGGTTTGGCCTCTGGGGGGGGGTCTGTGGGGATCCCTGGGGTGGGCTGGGTCCCTGCTGGGGATTGAAGTGCAATAACACCCCCTCCCCAGGCATACTCCAGCGCTGCAGGGACGGTCCCCCCCCCGTGGGACCCCCAGGGCTTAAACCTTGGGTTGCAGGACCTCCCCTTCCCCGAGGGCTCACATCTTTGCAGGCTCTCATGGAGGGGTGCGCAAGGAGCCTGCCCCCCCGGGAGAACCGGGAGCCCCCCCAGCCCCCCGGGCTGGGGGGTGAGCAGGGGTGGGCTGGGGGAAGGGGGGTCATTGTGTGTGTATGTGTGTTTTAGGGGATCCTGTGGGGCTGGTGGGTGTTCCCATACTGCCCCACAAGCATGGGGAGTGGAGCCGGTCCCTCCCTGGGCTGGCAGAGGGGCAATGCCCCTGGGGCAGTGCACAAGGGAGGATCAGTTGCCAGCGCTGGGGTTGCCCTTGCCCACCAGCTGCCGAGGGCTGGGTGCTGAGCTGGCACGGCGCCTCGCGTCCCCCCCCTGCACACAGGGGCAGGAGCAGGGTGCCGTTCTGGGGGGGGTAAGGGGCCGATGGGGATTTTGGCCAGGCTGCCTGGCCCCTGGCAAGGGTGGGAGCCGGCTTTCCTCCCTCCCGCACAATGCACTGGTGAATGCAGAACTCTTGTGTTTTTTATTATTAATAATAATTGCTAGTAATATATACCCAGCTTATTTAAAGTGTTCAATAAAAACTGAATGTCCTAGCAACCCAGGCTGCCGCTTCTGTCTTTTGGATGCACGTCAGACGCCAGCCCCAAGAGGTTGCATGGTCTTGCCTGGGGCTTCTGGGGAGCCCCTGAGGGACCACAAGCCAGCCTGGCTCAGCCCAAGATCTCAATGTCCCTGAAGCTGAGAATCTCAGTTGAAATGGCTTGGGTGAAATTCCCATTTATTATTTAGGTTCTTTGTGTTCATGCTCTTGAGTCTCTGTTTGCGGTGGTACACAAGGAAGCAAAGAGCAGACAAGCTGTGTCTCTTTATTGCTACAAAGTGGGTTCAGCCAGCGGACAAGACAGAGGAGTGACATGTGCCACCTCCAGAAAGCCTGCCTTTAACACTCTTCAGCTCTTCAAGCAAGCTTGTTCACATAGCAATTAATCAACTATATATGGCACACACGACCCCGTAATAAACTCAGAGCGTCTTCGCCTGGTTGAACATGACTTCCTCTCTTCTTGCCTGGCTGCAATGTTACATCAGGGCTATTTTGCTTAATCTTCGCATGTGCATGTGCGTGGTAACTATTTAAAATCCCCATGACTTGCTTTGCTTTAAAGCGTTAGTCCACTGCACGTGCCGGAGTTGCTTTTGCTTTTAAGAGGCAGCATCGCATCGCACCGTACAATCCTAAAGGTCATTGCTGTACTTTCTAATTAGCACAACAAACCACCAACCACCAGCACAGGCGCCGGATGGTTCAGGCACAGCTTCCTTCTTGGGCGCCCAGGCTTTGCTGGGTTGCCTGAAAGCCAGTGGCCAAGCTGCTCCCAGGATGGGGCCAGGCAGAAAGTCCCAGCTGTGGGGAGGGGACCTGGCTTGGTGTCCCCAGCGCCCACATCCTTGCCTCCTGGCAGCGCAGCTCACTCTGTGCTGGGGATGTCGCATGGCTGAAGGGCTTGCTCTGCTCTGCGGCTGGGCCTTGGCCCCCCACCAGCCCCCATGCTCGGGCAGACCCAGCGTACCCTGTGCAGGTGTGGGGCTGGGATGTGGGGCGCAAACCGCTCTGCTGAAGCGCATCGGGTGGAGGGAAACGGCCACTGCTGCCACCTTCCCCAGCCTTGTGATGCTTGAGCATCGCTGGAAAGGACTTGGGCAGGGGTCTGTGAGAGGGAGTGGGTTGCTCACACGGACGGGACACCTTGGGCAGGGTTGCAGCAAGGCTGAAGCGGAGGCGGTGCGGGGTGCAGGTGCTGCAAGGGAAGGCAGAGGGTGAGGGTGAGGTGTTGCCCAGCCTCCACAGCACACAGCGGGGCTGGGAAGGCAGTTTGCAAAGGGGTTTCCCCCATCTTGCCCCTTTGCTCCAGCACAGCTTGGAGGAGGTCTCTTGAGCTACTGCAGACCAGGGGCTCCTGTGGCAGCGAAGGGATGGAGGCAGGCTCCATCCTGCACAGTCCCTATCCACGGGAGGGGGGTCAACACGCCCCAGGCAGAGGGCCAGGCTCCCTGCTGTTCTCCACGCACACCCCACGGGCCCCACGCACCCCAGGGCTCAGCAGAGGGCACACTCACCTCAGCAGTGCTGGGGCCAGTGGCCATCATGCAATGAAGGGGGAGCTCGGCCCCGCCGCCTTCTCGCAGATCCAGAGGTGCAGGTCGTTGGGACCCTCACACTGGGCAGGTTTGATGTTCCCGCGGCTTATTATGGCACAGGACCCGTTCAACTTCGACTGCCACGGCCTGGATAGGGAAAAGACACATCAGGGGGCTGCCACCACCTCATCCACCACTCCCTGCCAAGGCAGCCGGGGCTGCTGAAGGGCTGCCTCCTGCACGCTCACCCAGGAGGGGTTGAATGCTGCAGTCAGAAGGGGCATCCCCCAGTCCTTCCCTGCTGATTTCATGGCCTGAAGCCTCAGCCGACGCATCCCTGCCCTTCTTCAGGCAGGACTGAGAAACCCCTCTGCAAAAGGTTTGCATCCCCACAGCACCTGGCAGTGGGGAGAGCCCAGTCCTCCCCATGGGTGGGTGGCCAGAGGAGCTGCCCTGGGCCATGGGGTCATGGTGGGGTGCAGCCCCCTACAGCAGGGCTGAGGATGGCAGGGCCAGCAGCAGGCAGGGGCTGGGCACCCAGGACCCAGCCAGACGGGTCTGTTCCTCCCCACTGCTCTCAGACACCGCAAGAGGAAGCTGTGGCGAGGTGGGGAGGGGGTGCACGTGGCGGGGAGGAGCCTGGGACCCTTTGCGAGCGGGAAGGCTCGATTTCCCCTCAAGGAGGGACCAGGGAGGCGCGTGGGGGATAGAGGTGGTGCTCAAACGTTTTGTCTTGACCCCAAATAAAACTTTTGCCCCCTTTCACCGCTTCCTGCCCGCACAAGCCCTGCACGGTCCCCACTCGAGCCTCGGCTTTCCGTTTTCACAGCTTCTGAGCACCATCTCATCACACCACTGCACCCACCTCCCCTCCGTCTCAGCTGCTTTGATGCTCTTTGTCCCCAGTGCTCGTGCCTGGGAGGGGGTACTGGTAGGACTCAAAGTGCTTTCAGAAGCCATGCGGGAGGAGAGAGGGTTTCGGCAAGAGGCTGTGCTGCCGGGTACCTTTCGTAAAGGGAGCCGTCCACCCAGAACCAGGCATCTGAGACTCCGTCTTCACCTGGGTCCCCTTCCTCCAGCCAGCCATAGTCGTACCAGGGCAAGCTGGTCTTCTGCAGCCCAATCCAGTATGGGATGTCTGCATTCCTCAGAAAGGTCTGAGGAAGGAGAAAAGGGCCCTTTAGTGGTCTTTCTACGGCACCTATGTGCTGTGGTGTTTGCAGGGAGTCATCATGTCCCCAAGAAGCCCCTGGGACTGGAGCTCCTTGGGGCAGGACAGCTGAACAGCCCTGGTGTCCTGCTCCAGCTTGGGCAGCATCCAGGGGTGCCAGAGGCTCTCTGCCCCAAGTCCACCACCAGCCATGTGCTCCAGATTTGCACTCTCCAATGTTTCAGAAGGCCGGGGATCCCCAGAGCAATCCTGGCCCACCTGGGGAACCCAGGGATGGATGCATCAGCTCCTGCCTTCACCTCCTCCCAGCACCTTACCGGCACAGTCCAGCGACTCCAGGATTTGGTGATCAGAAGCTGAGAATATTTCTTCTCGCACTCATCTCTGCTGTCCTCCCAGGTCTTCTTCTCCGATGAGATGAAGAGGCATTTGCCCCTGTACAGCAACCAGCCTGAAGGGCAGCAGTCTGGGGACAGGGTCACAACTCAGGTGTTTGCTCAGCCAGAGATGCCCTGGGGGCGACTGGGATCAGCCCCACATGTTCCCAGCAGACATCATAGGCTCAGGCTCTGCTCCAGGCACAGCTTCAGCCTTTGGACCACCCTGTCCCCACCATGTGGCCCAAAAAGCCAGTGCTTGTGCCTTGGCACTGCACCTCTTGAGGGGTGCCAGTCCCCGGGGGCACCCCATCCCTGCTCCACCATCGCCCTACCTATAGCCGTGCAGGAGCGCAGGAGGGCCACGGTGCTCTCGCTGTTGTTGAGCTTCCCCTGTACCTCCTGCATCTCCTTCTCTGTCTTTCCCAGGACCCCCATGACACGTCTCAGCTCGACCTGCAGGCTGCCCAGCTCCAGCTGGCTGCTGTTGCCCTCTTGCCACGCTCGCTGCAGCTCCGCTCTGGCCAACGCCAGCTCCATCCGTGTCTGCTCCAGGCTCTCCTGCCGTGTGCTCACCTCCTGTGAGAGGCGGCCCTGCTCGGCCTCATGCTCACGGGAGGTGTTCTGCAGGCTGCGGGTGACCTGCCAGTCTGGGGAGAAGGTGGGTAAGACGGGGCACAGAGATGGTACAGTCCTGGGTAGGGGGATGTGGGACTGACCCTGACTTGGGTGTAGGACAAGGTGTCTGTGCCGGGTGGGAAAGGATGGGAAAGACATGGCAGGGAAGGAGCTCGGCAGGACCTGGCAAGGCAGGGTGTAGGAACCAGGTTTCCCAGAGAAGTTGTGGATGCCCCATCCCTGGAGGTGTTCAAGACCAGGTTGGATGGGGCTTTGAGCAATCTGGTCTGGTGGGAGGTGTCCCTGCCCATGGCGGGGAGTTGGAATGAGATGATCTTTAAGGTCCCTTCCAACTCAAACCATTCTGTGATTCTAACACAGAGAGCAGGGCAGGGGCAGGGAGGGTGCAGCAATACGAGGCTGGGAGATGCCTGGAAGGGAAGGGAAAGGAGGAGGAGAAACGCAGAATGAGGTGGGGAAGTTGGGGAATGGGAGGCAAGGCCATGCTTCCCAAGGCCAAGGGAGGCGTGGGATGTATCCCATGGTGTGTGAGGGATACAGGCCAGTTTGTGGCAGATGGGGCAGAGGGACCCGGCCACAAGCAGGGTACACAGGCATGCCTGCGTTAACCCCGAGCTCTCCCCCATTCAGTCATGGCAACCTGCCCCAGCCCAGCTGCCTCCCTCTCCCCATGCTGCCCAGCCACCCCCAGCCCCAGAAGGTAGCAGGCAGGTCGCCAGCAGCCCCACAAGGATGCACCACTGCCGGGACCAGCGCCCTGCAAGACACAACCGACCAGAGGCATCACCCAGTGAGCTGGGAAACCCCTGGCAGCCCCCAGACCTCCTGCCTGTGGGCAGCAAAGTGGCAGCGTGATGGCACAGGTGGCAGAGTGTGAGTGCTTCCTCTCTTCAAGGATGGCAGCAGGAACACACCCTGAAACACCACCCACTCCCCGCAACCTCCCTTGGTCCCCTGGGCTCCAGCTGGTCACTCACCTGGGCTGGGCTGAGCCCCGTCCCCATCCTGCGCCGCTGGTGATGGCTCTGTATTCTCATAGGGGCTCTCCGCCTCATCCATGCCCAGGGCTGTTGGGGAAGGCAGGGGAGAGTGTCTGAGCCCCCCGGGATGGGTATGGCGGGGCTACCATGAGGAGGTCCTACGGGCTCTCACCTGCCTCCAGCGCCTGGCTGGCCATGCTCCGGCCCCCCATCACCTTGGCAAACCTCAGGTCAGCATAAACCACGCTCTGGGCCATGTGGGCTAGTGCCGGGCAAGCCCTGAGCCCTGCTGACTCCCTCTCTGACCTCGGGATGCCTTTCTGGGATGGTCCTGCTCCCCGGCGATTGCGTCGTCTCTCAGAGGTGCAAAGGAGAAGTGCAGCCAACGTCTGCAGAAGCAGAAGTTTGCTCTAAGATGCAGCAGATGGGACCAGCGAGGCACAGCTGCAGGGACCAGTACTATCTTCATTGGTCCCAGCACCACCGGCCCGTCCCCTCCCACGCCCCGAAAGTGCTCATGGTCGCCCTGGGTACACATGGCACCAGGGCAGCATGGCCTGACGTCAGGGGGGTAACCGAGCAAGGATGGACACAAATTCTGGGCCAGGAGTGAGCTAGGGGAGAGCAGGCCGAACATGGACACAGGAGCACATTGCCCTGTGGAGGCCTGGAGTTCTTCATGGGTGCAGATTTCCTCTCCCAACCTCTGTTAATGGGAAATTGCCTATGATGTACCTTGTCCTGCTGCCTCTCTTCCTTTCCCTCGTCCCCTCCTAGAAGACCCCAGCTTCGGTGTCTCTCCAAACTCCCCTCCAGAGATTTGCATACACCAGTGACACCAGCTTTGTCTTCTCTTCCCCAGACTACAACCCCAACACTCGTAGTGACTCCTCCTCAGTCCCAACCTCCAGCCCCTCAACATCTCAGAGGCCTCTACTGAACTGCATCCAGAGAAAGGCGGGTTTCAGAAGGGGAACTGATTTGAGGAACAGCTGGGGCCATCTGGACACAGCCAGTTCCTAGGACAGGTGTGCAGGGATGCTGCTGGAGCACAGCATTGCAAGGCTGCTCTCCCATCACATCTGCAAGAGGAGGGGAAGCCCTCCATCACTGGTGAAAGGCAAAAATCACACCCAGCATCAAAGGGGGTAGGAAGGAGGTTTGGAAAACTAAAGGTTGAGAACCTTCCACCCAATCCCCAGGAAGAAGATGGAGCACGTCCTCCCTGTCACACAGTGGTCCAGGGCCAGGGAGGACATGGTGGTGGCTGTGGGGAGCCCAGCAGGATTTTCCAAGGGCGAGAGACCCCTGCCCGACCTGCCTGCCTGCTGCTGTGTGACCACTGAGCTGGAGATGAGGGGAGTGCAATAGGGACCATTTCTCATGACCCTTTGAGGTTTGGGACATGGTCCACTGGGGTCTCCTTGCTGGTAGAGTGGGGAGACATGGCCAGGAACAGGGGAGAAGAGCAAGAGCTCACGCTGCAATGCGGAAACCCCGTTTAGGCGCTAAGGCAAATATCTCTGCACAGCAGCAATGCTCAAACCCCGGAACAGAGCACAGAGAGGGGGAACCTCCATCCAACGTGGGGCCAGCCCCAGAGCCACCAGTTCCCACATGGAAGCCAGCTCTGCTCTCCCCCGACCAAGGGATTTTGGGTCGATTCTGGGTAGTCTGAGCCCTGCGGTTCTGCCCAGCACCCCGAGCCCAAGCTGCACTGCCCCAACATCATCCCAGGGGACCCTGAGCAGTTTTGGGGCGTGGAAGGGGACAGGATGGCGGTACCAGGGACCAATGGCAGGGCGCCGGCCCCCGTTTCTGTGCTTTCCACCTCTCATCTGCCGCACCTCTCAGCAAACTTCTGCTTCTGCAGAAACCAGGCACACTTCTCCTTTGCAGCCCCGAGAGAGGGGGCAAGTGCAGCTTAGCAGGAACCTCCAAGACAACCCAAGGCATGGCCCAGAGCGTGGTCTATGCCGACCTGAAGTTTGCCACGGCTCCCCAGCTCCCTGCCCCCGCCGGCCCCACAGCCCCCGATGAGGATGACAGCCCCTATGAGAACGTGCCGCTGGGGCCAGTGCCCGTGGAGCCCACTCCAGGTGAGAGCCCAGCAGTGGCCACCACCGCGGGGATGCCCTGGGTGCAGGGTGGGCAGCATGTGGTAACAGTGGGACCACGGGGTGACACCCGTGGGCGGTCATCTCTTGCAGGTCGCTGGCCCCGGCGTTGGCGTGTGCCTGCAAGGCTGCTGGCAGGCAGCCTGCTGCTGCTGCTGCTGCTGCTGCTGGTGACCACGGTGGCCCTGGGGGCTTGCTGTGAGTCGGGGTGAGGGTGTTGGGGCATGGGGCAGTTTGAGAGGGGGCAGCTTGGGAAAGGGAGGGGGGAGCACCGGGAGCAGGTTTGGGGCTGGATGAGGACCAGAATGCTTGGGGGCTTGTATGGGCTGTGGGGTGCCTAGGGCTGGGGGAGGGCTTGGGGCTGGTGGTGCGGGGGTGGTTGCAGGCTCTTGCATGGCCACCCTGAGCTGCTCCTTATCTGTCTGCACTGCTTACCACTGCCTTCCCCTTCCCTCCCACTGCACTCACTTCCCTTCCCCTCTGCTCTCCCTCCCCTTACCCTCCATTTGCCTTCCCCTTGCTTCCTATTACTTTCCTTTTCCCTTCCCATTGTCTCCCATTGCCTCCTTTTGACTTCCCACTGCCTTGCCTTTCCTACCCATTGCCTTTCCATTCCCTTCCATCCCCTCCCCTTGCCATCCTTGGGGCTGCCTTGTCCTCCCCATGGCCTGGACGTGCCCACCCTGCCCCCTGCGCAGGGTCAGTTCCACGTCCCCCTGCCCAGGACTGTCCCACCCTGTTGCCCCAGCTCATCCACCTTCTCCCCAGACTGGCAGGTCACCCGCAGCCTGCAGAACACCTCCCGTGAGCATGAGGCCGAGCAGGGCCGCCTCTCACAGGAGGTGAGCACACGGCAGGAGAGCCTGGAGCAGACACGGATGGAGCTGGCGTTGGCCAGAGCGGAGCTGCAGCGAGCGTGGCAAGAGGGCAACAGCAGCCAGCTGGAGCTGGAGAGCCTGCAGAAGAAGATGCAGGAGGTGCAGGCGAAGCTCATCAGCAGCGAGAGCACAGTGAGCAGCCTGCGTGCCTGTGTGAACACAGGTAGGACCATGGCGGGGTGGGGGGGACAGGCAGCCATGCTGCTGGGGGGATGTGGGGGCCAGTCCCAGCCAGGATGGTGCCCCCCTGAGTGCCCATCGGAGGGTGAGAGCCTGAGCCATGTCCCCGCCCCCAGAGTGCTGCCCCTTGGGCTGGGTGCTCTACAAGAACGTCTGCCTCTTTATCTCGGGGGAGAAGAAGAGCTGTCAGCAAAGCTGTCAAGACTGCAGAGATAAAGGTGCTCGGCTGCTGGTCCAAGGCAAATGGAACTCATGGAACATGCCGGTATAGAGCAGGGGGGCTGCGGCACCGCGCAGGGTCGAGGAGATGGTGTGGCTGGGCAGACCCCCCCACTAGGGTCAGCAGCATCTGTGGAGGTGCTGGGATGGCACAGCGAGCCCCGGGTTCCCACCCTGCAGGCTATGGGGACGAGCACAGCTGGTGGTGGAACTCCTGGGCCCCAGCCACGGGGCAGGCGGTCAACAGCTTCTCTCCCCCCAGGATATTATGAAAGGATCTAGTGCCCTTTACTGGATTGGAACAAAAATTCCTTCTGACATCAAGTGGTATGTTATCTGGCACGACAGCAAGCGGTTGTAAACGCAGCAGTCCTTGGCACAAGCACCTGCCCTTTAACCATGTCAGGGAGGTACCGTTTCATCCCTGTGAGACCCACTCTGGCAGAGGGGTTGATGCTTCAGCAAACGGGGAGGTGGGGGGGAGGGGGGGGTTGGGCAAAGCCCAGATGTGGGGTGCATTGCTGGATGTTCAAGTGGCAGAGCAGGAGGCTGGGGGAAGGAACGTGGCCATTTCCTCATACTGGTCCCAGTGCCAGGTGCCCTCCCTGCCCCAGCAGCACTGGGACCTGTGGGAAGGGGTGTCCACGGTGAGGATGCTGTCACTGCTTCTCTGAGACGTGCCCTCTCTTCCTAGGTGTCACTCTAGTGGAGCAATGTGTGAGCTGCTAACAACTAACAGGAAAGCAGACAATTATAAATGGAAGCTGTACCAGTGGATCTGCGAGAAACCCCCAGAGTTGACCACCGCATCCAAGAGCCTTCGTCCTCTCCTGGACAAGGCCTGATAGTGCTGCCACCCCACTCCATCACAGGACCCGAGGACAGGAGCTGGGGATGTGCCCCAAGACCCTCTCCCCTCTGCACACGCGTTGCCTCAACCATGTTGCAAAGTGCTGGGAAGGCATGTGTGTATTTTAAAGCAAGGCTCATGGAAAAAAAGATCTCCTTCCCCTCTCTCACATTCATGCATACACTTATACTACCTTGCACCGGCCCTCTGTGTGTCCACGTGTGCCTTGGCCAGCACAGCTCGCAATGACCTCAGCCAGTGCAGCTCCCTCCGTGGGGCACTGATGGCAGGGATGTGCCCTTTGCTTTTCCTTGGAGCTGGGGGACGACAGCACCATTGGTGTCCCCAAGCTGGCTTTGGGGAGTCCAGTGGATTTACTGCTTGTCCCTTCCCTCAGCAACCACAGCCCCCATCCTGCCCTTTCTCCTGCCTCCATCACCTTGGGGCTTGGGGCTTGGGGCTTGGGTCTGGGCCTTGCCTGCGGGGGTGCAGGCAGTGGAGCCATCAGCATGAGAATCTGCTGGGGAGCCCTGAGACCATGTGGGACATGGGGGAGCACTGAGGAGCTCTGAGACCATGGGGGGAAAAGGGGTGCACTGAAGAACCCGGAGACCCTGGGGGGTGAATAAGGGAGCTCTGGGGCCATGGGGGAAATGGGGGTGCAGTGAAGATCCCCAATATCATGGAAGGCAAATGAGGGAGACCTGAGGCCATGAGAAGAAAGTTGGGGTGCAGCGAGGCGCCTTAAGACAGTGGGAGAGAGGGGAGAGCACTGGGGAGGCTTGGGGACACGTGGGAAAAGGGAGGCCCCTGCCACCACAGGGGAAAGACCCCTAAGACCTGAGCGGCACCTGAGCTGCTGGGCGATGTGATGAGGCACCCCTGTCCATGACCCAGCTGGGGTGAGTGGGGGAGTCTAGGGGCAGCACTGATCCTCCCTGTCTCGCTCAGTGTTTCTGCAGAAAGGCACTTTTCAGACAGGTGGGTGAGGTGGGAACCACGTTTTTCAGCTGGATGTGGGCAGCTCCTGGGAGCGGAGATGTAGAAGGAGGCTGGTGGAGCCGCCCCACAGCATGGTGAGGCTGGGAGGTTGGAACGGGACTGTGGGAGATCCCCTACAATCTCAGTTATCGTGCAAAACAAAGACCTGTTGTGTCTGGCTTGTCCTGGGAAGAGCAGACTCCCTGCCCCTGAAGCCCTTGTGATCTGGTCACCACTGTCCACAGTGACATTGGGCTCTGCCACCCCAAAGGACAAACTGCTGACTTCTGTCCAGCCTCTGGTTTGTTGGTCCACTGTTCAGCATGCCTGCTTGCTTGCCCATCTTGATGCCTGGGGTTTGTCCTCCCTTCGCAGCTGGGGGTATCACCCTTTCCCCCATCCAAAATCAGCAGGTTCCCACCAGCAATTCCTCCAGGTGCTTCTGAACACTGGTCTTGCCCTCCAGTATACCAGCTGGAAAAGGGAATTGCCGACACCCCCCTGCAGCCCTGCCGCCATCCAGGTTTCCACCCACCACCTCCTCTTCTCCCGGCCACGTCTCCCTACTCTGCCAGCAAGCAGACTATGGGAAAACATGTTCCAGACCTCAAAGGTTCATGATAAATGGCCCCCATTGCTCTCCTCTGATCCACAGGCCAGTGTTCCCACAGCAGCAGGCAGGACAGACAGGCATCACCGGCTCATGGTGAATTCTGCCTTGGCTTTCCCTATCCAGCAGCATGTCCTCCCTGTGCCTGGACCATCACATGCCTGGGAGGATGTGTTCCACCTTCTTCCTGTGATAAAGGCTTGGAGAACAAAGCTCAGCTCTGGGACAGCCTCCATCACACAGCTTCACAAGATGTAGGAGGCACCTCCCAAACTAGCTTCAACAGAGGTGAGCAGGGTTTGGTACCAGCATCCCCTCCCTGGTTCAGGGGAGCTGGGGCTGGAGGGCAGGGGCTGGGGGGGTAAGCGTGAGCATGAGTGTGGAACACAGAAATACAGTCTCATTTCCATAAGTCTTGTTTTAAAATGCAGACACCTTCTTTCCCAAGCTATAGCTGAGGTGACATGTGGCTGTGCAAGATGGGAGGGTGTCTTTGATGTGCACCACCCCGGTAGGAGTGACCCTGCTCAGGGGGCAAGGTGGGCATATCCAGGCCATGAGAAGGACAAGGCAGCCCCAAGGATGGCAAGGGGAGGGGATGGAAGGGAATGGAAAGGCAATGGGTAGGAAAGGCAAGGCAATGGGAGGGAAGGGGGAGGCAGTGGTAGGCAGTGCAGGCAGATGGGGGGTAGCTTGGGGTGTCCATGCAAGAGGCAGCAACCACCTCTGGACCACCAGCCCCAGGCAACCCCCAACCCTAACAACCCCCCAACACCCCAGCCCTTGCCCAGCCCCAAATTGGCTCCTGGTGCCTCCCCTCAAACTGGCCCCCACTTCACGGCCCTCACCTCGACTCACACAAGCCCCCAGGGCCACTGTGGCCACCACCAGCAGCAGCAGCAGGCTACCTGTCAGTAGTCCTGTGAGGATATACCAACACCGGGGTCAGCAATCTACAAGAGATGACCACCCACCCACAGGCATTACCCTGTGGTCCTACTACCACCATCCTCTGCCCGCCCTGCACGCAGGGCATCCCCATGGTGGTGGCCACTGCTGGGTTCTCACCTGGGTTGGACTCCATGGCCACTGGCCCCGGCAGCACGTTCTCACAGGGGCTGTGGTCCTCATCAGGGGCTGTGGGGCAGGTGGGGGCGGTGAGCAGGGGTGCCATGGCAAACTTCAGGTCAGCATAGATCACTTTCTGGGTGATGTGGGTGGGTGCTACCTTGGGTGGCAGAATTTCGGGGACTCGGGGCTGCCTTGTTCCACTGCGGTCAGCTGGCAGGCTGTGGCCGAGACCACATGAGGTGGAGCCACTTCTTCATGTGCAGAAAAGCAGAAGTAGTTACTTTATTTGGAAAGTTTTATTTCTGAGGCTGCTCTCGGTTTGGGGGTTGGGGGGGTGAATGAGCTCCATCCCGGGCAGTATGCCTTGCATCCACCCCTCCGAACTGGAAGGACCCCCAAGACCTGTGTGTACTGGCCACAGCAGGGCCATGCTGCCCCATGCATCACCCTCCACATCCCAGCCCTTGCTCAGGAGACAGGATGCAGTGACTGTGATGTCTTGGTCCTTCACATGCACCAGGAGAGACTCCCAGGGATGTCCAAGCTGGAGCTGCATGCTGCTGGCATAACCCAGAGGTGATCTATATCAATACCAAAACAGCCCCCAGGACCAAATCGCTCCAAGCCAAGCCTCAGCAAGCCTTCTAGGCTCTCATACATCACCCAGCCTCAAAGCAAAATGAAGGTGTATGCTGTGACGTCCTCAGAATGTACAGAGACCGCAAGACAAGCTGCTACCCAGTCCAAGCCCTCCACAGCACCGCAAAGGCAAAGCGTCACCTCTCAGCTGCCTTTCCTGAGAAGCACAAAACCCAGACAGCCACCATGATCAGAATCCCCAGAGCTTTGGGGGACTTGCTCCAGCCTACACAGGAGCTTCTCCATGCTGCCACCCAGCCATGAGGACGCTTGGGTCAATGCTGGCTCCCAGACACTTCCTTCAGTGCTGTGGCAGCCATCATTTCCCACCAGGCAGCGATGCAACCGAATCAGTGAGCTGGAGGATGCACCTCCATCCCACCACCCTCATCCCCCAAAGCCAGCCACAGCATCCAAGTGCCAGAGTTTATTGGCAAAGTGCAGAGATCCAGGGGGCCTAAAGCAGTCTGACTGAGGAGGTAGCGGCACCTGAGAATGCCCACACACTGGGAAGAGGGTGGTGGGACAGGCTGGAGGTCCCCGTGGTCATCAGGGTCCCACACAGGTGTAGGTGGTGTTTCCCCAGAGGAAGGCGGGGGATGAGGAGCGGAGCCACTGCAGGGTGGCTGCGTTCTGCTCACAGACCCAGCCGAGGGCTTCATTGCACCAGCCTCCTGACAGCCCCGAGCTTGAGAGCCTGCCACAGGCCAGGAAGGAGCTGGTGGACCGCTGGATTGGGAAGAGTCTAGAAGGAGAGAGTGGGCTGAGATGGGCTGGGATGGGATGGAATTGCTGGGGTTATCCCAGCAGCAGCTCCTCCAGACAGGGACCAGAGGCTGCACAGAGAAGCTTGCTGCATAAAGAAGCTCTGGGGACCAAGCTCACCCTCCCCAATGGAGCTTTGTCCCCTGCCATCCCCCTCCGAATTAGGAAAAATGCTCTGATGCCCCCTAACCCTACCTCTGCCTGTTTGACATGCAGCCCCCAGCCCCATCATGCACGCAGCACCCCCAGGTCCCTCCTGGCAGGGCTCACCACCAGCTGCACCAAGCAAAGCCTGGGAACCTGCTTTTGGGGGACCATCCCAGCCCCTCACCCAGGCAGGGTGTGGGCACCAGGGACGGGCCCTGGCAGTACTCCCTTCCCTAAAATGCTCCACTGCAGCCCTGGGAAGACCAGAGATAGCCAAAATATGGAGCACATCTCCGGCCTGCCAGTGGGCTGCCTGTCCCCCTGTCCCGATGTTGGACCCACAGCAGCCCTGGCTGTGGACAAGCTGACAGCCTCACCCCTGCAGCGTGGTGCCATCCAGCCACTTCCAGTCAGACCTGGAGTTGTCTCGCTTCAACCCCACGTGGAAGGATTCCATGTTGGCTGTGCGCAGCAGGAAAGCCTAGCACAGGAGAGGACCGTCATGAGCTCCCTTTCTGGGGACACCCAGCCCCAGCTACACAATTAGTGGTGGGGGCTGCACAGTTCAAGCACAGCATCGCCGTCTCCCTGCCCGGGGGCTTGGCTCAGCTTTGGGCCCCTTGGCCAGAGCCAGAGGGCTGAGACGATGCTGCTGATGGCTGGGTGACTGCTGAGGGACCTTGAGGTGGTCACCAAGGCAGCCCAACACCCGCGGGGAGTCAGACAGGCCTGGCAAGGTGCACTCACCAGGGTGGTGTTGGCTCGGATGGTGACCAGCTGTGCCCCTCTGGAGCAGCAGTCATCCCTGCTCTGCTCCCAGGTCTTTTTGGCAGAGGAGAAATAGTAGCAGCGCCCCGCATCCCAGAGCCAGCCGGTCGGGCAGAACTGGCATCGCCCTGCACACCAGAAACTCAGCCTGTGGGAGCAGCTGGGACAGGGCAGCTGCCTCCAGCCCCCAGCCCAAGGGACAGGAGGGTGACAAGGGGCAGCCAGGGTGCCAACTAACCCAGCACACTCCTATGGCTACCCGGTGGAGAGGACCCTCTGCTTGCCCTTGCTCTGGAGCCCAGCTCCCCCATCCCAACCCCAGCTCCCCAGCGGGACCCCAGGGGAGATGGGCTGGTTACAGGAAGGTGCTGGCATCAGGCAAGTGGGTCAGGAAGGGGAGCTCCAGGTTTGGGAGAGTGATACAAATATCATTTGCAAGAGCTGAGAGTTCAGTCAAAATTTCAGTTTCACCAGAGGCTGGTCGAAAGACAGCACCCAATGGCATCTGGCACACGGATGTTGGTGGCAGCTGTGAGCCTGGTGCATGCCCAGGAGATGCTGAGCTGCTCTGGGGTCATCTCTCCCGAAGGGATCCCAGCAGCGCAGCCTGATCAGCAGCACCAGGGCAGCTCTCCATGTCACGAGCCAGGGGACAGGCAGCAAGGGTGAAGGGAGACTCGTCAGGGGGAACATCCTGGAGTAGAGACAGATCCTGCCTCTTGAAAGGAGCAGCCAGCCCAAACCTTGACCAGGAGCCCACTGGGCTCTTACCTCGCATTGTCTGTTGCCCGTAGCTGGGGCTCTCCTCCATGCTCCAGGGACCATGGGCACAGCTCGCCTGTTGTCCTAAATCTACAGAAGAGCACAGGAGTGTCCTTGCTAGCTCCCAGCAGCAGCCAGTGCCCTCTCCCTGCAGCTGAGGGTGTCCCCCTCTTTAGGTGACCTGCCAGCCAAGCCCGCTGAGGTCCCTGTGGCTTTTGCTGTGCTTGGGAGCCCATCACATGACAAGCTTTCGGGGAAAGCGCTTCTGCCTTTTGGTTTCAGTGTCACCACTCTCTCTCATGTCTTTATTTCGTTGCCATGCAATGGAGCAGGATGCCCCAGTGCCTCCCCGAGCCCACGCTGTCCCCCCACCATCCTCCTCCAGCCTGGCAGGTGAGGTCTTGCCTCACCAGTTTTCCTGCTTGCCCCAGGATCCATAACACCCTCAACTCCAAGCCGGAGGGCCCAGCTCCATGGCCAAGCTCTAACTCTGTCTGCTGGTACATGGGCCCCGTGGTGCCAACCCCCTGACCCCAAGACCCCAGCTGAAGATGTCCAAGCACAAATGGGTACTCACAGTGGAAGCTCAAGGCAACGAGGATGATTTGTGCCAGCAGGAGCATCAGGGAGAAGAGACCCAGGCTGAGGGCTGCCCAGCACCAGGGAAACCGCACCGGCTGCTGACGAGCTGAGAAAGGGAGTTAGCTTCAGTCCTGGGGGCTTGGTGGGGACCACCCAGCTGGGAGAGGTCTGTGAACCCTGGGCAGGTTCTCAGGAGGCAGCTGGGGAACCCAGGAAGAGAGAGAAGGAAGGAGAGCCCATTTGCAGCACCTTGACCCTCCTTGAAGTTGTCTCCCTGCAGACAGCGCTTGGCACAGAGGGGCAGAGAGCAGAGCGTGGGGTCCCTGTGTGTGCCGGTGGCACTGGGGTGGCAGTGGGCATCCTCTGCCCTTGGGACCCTTTAGCCCTCCACCCCAAGAGAAGGCAGTCTGCAAGAGGGCTGAAGAGGAGCTGTATTGGAGAAGATACCCAAAAGGAGGGAGCGAGGGGAACAGGGCTGGGGGAACGGCTCTGCAGAGGTCAAGGGGCTGCGGGAGGGTAGGGGACCCACCAGGAGAGTTGGGGTGCCAGGGGCAGGGAGTGGCGTGCCATTACCTGGTGTGGGGGGAAAGCGCAGGTCGGCATACGTGACCCCCTCTTCCATCTCTCCCTCAGTCTCTCGCTCTGCACCCCACAGGGGAAGCAGCAACCCCCTCCCAGCCCCCTTTAGCAGCCGGGCGTGACGCGAAATGGAAAGTGTCATTTCCTGGCTGGGTCCCCAGGGGCACCACCTGGGTCACAACCCTGGGGGGGACTCACAGTGTTGACACCAACTGGGTTGAGGAGGAACCCCAGCCAGGCTGGCACCCAGGCGTTCCCCTCCTGAGGGAACCCCGCACCCCTGGCTTTCAGGGCAGCGAGTGGTGGGGACGGGTACCAGCTCAGATGTGGGGCCAGGGCTGCGCCGGGCAGCCCAGTCGAGGCTGCTGCCCACTGCCACCACCCCTTGGTGCTGAGCAGATCCCTTCTGGGGACTGTGTGGGGGAATCTGGTCATCCTTAGAGAGCAGGACTCAGGGCCCTGTCCTTCATCCCCAGGCTCTGTGCTCTCAGAGCAGCAAGTCCACAGCCTTGTGTTTCCTCAGATGTGGTGTCTGCTGCCTTTTTTTTGCATGGGGCTGCAGCTGCATCTCGTCCTTGGAAAGCAGGTGTGGGGGGATGGGGTGCCCTTTCCCCTCCTCGAGCCTTTAGGGGACCTAAAAAAAACCTATGACAAATTATTAAGCCACAAGAAGAGTAACTTGGAGCAGAACGAAGCAGGATGCGGGTGACATATTAAATAAAAGGCTTGAAAGCAAAACTGGTTGCTTGTAGGACGCTCACTCTTTGCTCCTGCCCAGCAACTTTCAGTTGCTTCTCAAGATCTTTGGATTACTCATGGTCCTTTTTGGGTTCTTAGGAAAGTCTCCTTTCTTCTGTAACCCTAAACCCCTGATTTAGGCTTTGCTTCCTGCTACAGGAAACACGAAGAGCTTTATTTGACACTAAAAGTATTGGTTTTATTACGATTTACCTTTGCTCTCTCTCCAGACCCGTCCCCCCCATCCCCCCCGTCCCCCCCCGCTATTGTTCATTATAAGGACCTCCATTTCTTTTGTTAAATTAGATTTCAAGTGCACAGCAGTGATTGCACTCGCCGCCGAACAACACCCGGCACAGACAAGGCGCTGCTCTTGGCAGCGATGGGCGCTCCTGCCCTGCCCGTGGAGCTGGGCTACCCCAGCCCCCGCGGGGGTGGTCCCGGGGGGGTCTCCCAGACCCACACCTCTCCCGCCGGGCAGGGCAGGGGCGGGGATGCCGACGGACAGACCGCGACCCTCCTCCTCCTCCCCCCCCCCCCCCCCCTTAGGAGGCGGGGAAGGGGGAGAGGTGGGATGGCACGGCCAGGACTACGTTTCCCAGCGGCTCCTCCGGGGGGCTGCACATGCTCGGTGCGGCTCCCGGCGACTCCCGGCAGCTCCCGGCGCGGCGCCCGGTGCGGCTCCCGGCGGAGCTCCCGGTGCAGCTCCCGGCGATTCCCGGTGCAGCTCCCGGCGGAGCTCCCGGCGACTCCCGGTGCAGCTCCCGGTGCGGCTCCCGGTGAAGCTCCCGGTGCAGCTCCCGGTGCGGCTCCCGGTGCGGCTCCCGGTGCAGCTCCCGGTGCGGCTCCCGGTGAAGCTCCCGGTGCAGCTCCCGGTGCGGCTCCCGGTGCGGCTCCCGGTGCGCCCTCGGGAGCGCACGACCGAGCCCCGGGGCTGAGCCCTGCCCATCCCAGCCTCACCACCGGCCCCGGGGCCGAGCTTTTCCCCGGCACCCACCCTCACCACCCCCACGGGCAGCATGCCCCGCGGGCGAGCGTGGACGCAGGCGGAGGTCAGCAGCCTCCTGGCGCTGGTGGAGGGCTCGGGGGAGGCCGCCTTGCTCATGGCCTCCACGTCGAGGCCCAACGAGGCACTGTGGCGGGAGATCTCCCAAGGGCTGGCGGCGGCTGGCTACGGGCGCAGCGTGGCCCAGTGCCGCTCCAAGTGGAAGGCCCTCAAGCAGGCTTTCCACTCGGAGCGGGAGACGCGCCGGAGGGCCGGCTGCCACTCGCCCCGGCTGCCCCCGCACTACCAAGCCATGAAGAGCATCTGGAAGGCGGCCGGGAGGCCCGTCTTTGGCGAGCGGAGGATGCCAGGTGGGCGATGGGGGCAAGGCGGGTGGGCTTAGTGGCTGGGGGTGGGATGCTGGGGGAGCCCTGGTGCCGGACAGCCACCCCGGGGTATCTTGACAATGCCTTTCTCTTCCTCTAGACCTGGTGAGACAGCCCTCCAGGAAGCGCAGGTCAGCCCTTGCCGCCCGCTCTCCGTCCTCACCAGGGCCACCAGGTACCTGTGGGTGACAGGCAGCTGGCGTGGGGCTTGTTGCTGGCTGTGGGGTGGGCAGGCACCCCTCGTCTCGTGGTTATTGAAGCTCTTTCCTGCTGCCCCCTCACCTGCCTTCTGCAGGGCACGATGATGGCAAGGACGCCCCGGGTGTGCTGCTGTCCCCATTGCTGCAGCGTGCGAAGGATGAGCCAGACAGCCGTAAGTATCGGTCTGCCCCGCTGCACCGGGCTGCACGGCCACGGCTCCAGCCCCAGTCCATGCCAGCATGATGGGAATGGGGGGGGCTTAGAGAGTTGGGAAGGCCCATCACAAGTCCCTCACAGCAGGGATGCTCACCAACGGGGTGCTGGGTTTTCTCTCTGTAGAGGCTTTGGATCCAAACCAGTCCCAGAGCGTGAGGGGATGGAGATGGGGATGAAAAGGAAAGGGTCCCCAGCTCTGACCCAGCCTGAGGGCATGGCAAGGCTGCTGGCTGCCCCAAGGGAAGCTGTGGGGCTCAAGGTCTCTTAAGAGACGGTGGCCCTGATCCGGCCCAGGGGGCTCTTGTGGCTGTGTGGCACTGCAGGGCATGTGACTCCCCTTCCTCTGGCAGATCCTGGCTTCCCCTTCTCCAGTAACACCATAAAGCTTCAGATGAGTTAGGACTGGGTGTGAGGGCCAGAGGTGTCTGCAGCTCCCCTGCCCTGCAGCCCACCCAGGGGCAGATCCTGCAAGCCCCCCTTCGCTGTGCACTCTCCCAGGGGTTTGGCACTGAGGTGATGCAGGATAGGTCCCTGGGTCTGATTTGCATGGGCACCCCCCCCGGCCAGCATCCCGTACTGGGTAATTACCTTCTGTCTCCCTAAATTCCCCCTGCAGTTTCAAGTGGATGTGGGATTCTCCTTCACTTCCAGTCCTAATCTGTTGTGTAGCGTTGCTGCACGCTGCTACGCCGCTGCTGCCTTCCAGCCCAGAGGTGGCTGCATTGCAGTGGTGGGTGAGTGACTCCTGCTTTTGTATCTAGCTCATGAAACACTTTGGGGCCCTGCAGGGTGCTGTGGAGCTGTGGCTGGGGCATGTCGGGCTGCGGGGCTGGCTGGGGCAAGTCGGGCAGACCCTGGGCTGGTGGTGATCCCCATCAGATGATGCATCTCTCCTCTCTGCTCTCTCCCAGCAGCCGGTGGTGGGGAACACATCGCTGGAGTGCTGCCCACTCCCCCTGCTGTGCCACGTAAGGCTTTCCTTGCCCCACTTGGCCTGGTAAACCCCCTCGGCCCCATGAGCAAGGGTCTCATCCAGTTCTCATTGCAGACACCGGTGGCTGCTTCCCTCCCCTTCCCCTCCTGGGCGAGTACCATGCCCAGGCCACCGTGCTTGTGCACCATGGGGAAGGAGGCAGCCGGAGTTCATGGGCTGGGTCTGCTTCCCTTGCAGGCTGTCACACCACCCTGAAGCAGGAGAGAGCTGAGCAAAAGGCTGGTAAGGGTCTGCAGCTCCAAGCAAGCCCCCCTGCTCCAGGGGAGGCAGCTCTGTCCTCTCCTGCCCGTGGGGGATGGAGGACGGGGACTCCCACAGCCAGTGCCAGCCTGGGGGTCTGCATCAGGGTCAGGCTGAGTACGGGGCTTGGGTGGCTCCAGCACTCTGGTTGCTCCCTCCATGCCAAACCATCGCAGCAGGTTTTCCTGGTGAGACGTCCCTGGGGATAGGAAGAAGAAACCAAGTGCTGCCAGTGGCCACCGCAGCCCTGGGCTCCCCTGGGATGGCTGCCATGAGTGAGCAGCCGGCAACGAGTGAAGAGGCGTTGGACGCAAGCCTGCATGGTGGGTCCTCCCTGCAGCATCCCGGGAGCCTCGTGGTGGGTTCTCGGAGGAGTGCTGGGGGTTTGCTACCACTGACCCCTCCCCTGCCTCTCACTGCAGGCTCAGGTGTGCCAGGCTTGCTCCAGAACGTCCAGCAGCTGCTGGTGCAGATCCTACAGACGTCACGGCAGCAGCAGGCGCTGCTGGAGAGCCTGGCCAGTGATACCGTCTCCCACCTTAACTTCCTCTCCCACAGCCTGGTGCAGGTGGGTGAGACCCTGCACCAGCTCCTGCTCCGGCCACAGACCTACTTCAGCCCCTTTGTCCACTACAGTCCCCACGTGCCCATTTTTGAGGGTGGCCCTGGGGTGCCCTGTTCCGCCGGCTCTCCCCGCGCCTCCCCGGATCACAAAGAGGAGCCTCAGGTGTCCCCTGCCTCTGGCTGCACCCCGTGAGTGCCACCACCCTCAGCCCCAGGGGCACCAGCTTCACTATGCAGCCACAGCACAGATCTTTATAGCAGAGGCCCTGGATATTTTGGAAGTTTATAGAAGAGAGACATTTAAATAAAATTAAAAATAGCTTTTTCTACCAGTGATGATAATTGACTGATTCTTTCCTCCTCTCTGGGGGAGATTCCCCTTCTCACTTTCGAGATGAGCAGAAGGGGAACTCGGCTATTTATAGCCTCTGAGAAACTCCCAGGCCACACACCGTGGGGGAGATGTGCTTTCTCTGCCTCTGCCCATTCTCTGTCAGCTTCCAGCTGCGCCTGGGACCAGGAGGACCGTGCTGTGGAGGGGAGCAGGGCTGCCATAGGATGGGGAGAGCAGAGAGCATAGCTGGGGCACAGGCTGCATCCCTGTGCACGGGAAGAAATGGGTGGATGATGCTGGGCAGCACTGGGGCTGGGGAGGCAGTGTGTGCTGTGGCCATGGTCACTCAGTCACCAGGTCCTTGGTGGGTCCCTTCTGGTGGGCGAGCTGGGGATTGCAGTGTGCTGCGAGGGGCCGTGTCCTGTAAGCAGGACATGGATCACCATCAGGTAGCAGTAGTTGCTGGCATGCTATGTTTGTCTGCAACATTCCACTTGGCAAAGCGCTCACTGGCTCTTGCCTGGACCCCCACCACCTCCACCAGGATGCCCACATCTTCCATAGAGATGGGGTGGACGGGATGCCCACATCTTCCATAGAGATGGGGTGGACGTGCTGGCTGCCTCCAGAATCTCTTGGCCACATCCAGGGGGAGGATGTCCTGGCATAGGACAGGTAGACATCAGGATGGTAGTCCTGCCATGCCACATGCCACTTGCTGGTGGGCTGATGGGTGACCTGCCACTTCTCCCAGGAGAAGAGGGACTCCGTGTAGAGAACAGTTCATGCCATCTCAAGCCCAGCCAGGCAGGTGGGCAAACACTCTGTGGTGAAGTAGTCATAATCAGTCTTCAGGATGTAGCAGGGCTGACTACTGCTCAGATGCCATGCTTTATCCTCTGGGTGAGGTTGCTATATGTGTGCCTGAAGCTCCACAGCAAGATGTCCCCAAACTCCTGTCCTTTCTGCTGCTCACCCCAACCCACTGCTGCCTTGGGTGCCTGCACCACCCCAAACACCGGCTACCAGGCACTTGCCAGGGCACCCCACATCCTCCAGATGATGTGCAAAACCTCCATATGGCCCACCATGGACATCCCCAGATGATGTGCAGAACCTCCATATGGCCCACCATGGACATCCCCAGAATGAGCAGCACACACCAACGAGCTTGAGCACCTCTTTGGTGGCAAAGCCATGAGAGGGGCCAGGGGTATGGCCAACAGGGCCACCAGTGAGGAGGCTGGGGGTGGCAGATGCTACAGCACCAGTGAGCAGCAACTTTGCAGTCCAGACAGCACCTGGCAGGGAAGAGCGTGGGCGAGCAGTGCTGGGAAAGGCCATTACTCTCACGGCACCATCCGTCGCCCCATGCCAGCTGCACGGCCTGGGTCAGAGAGAAGGTCTCTGTGCTGTGGAGACATGTAGGTGCCATGACGCAGTGGGAAGGAGATGGGACTTGTGGGGGCTGCCAGGAGCAGACCAGCTCGGGTGGGGATGGTGCTCCCACGGTTACACACAAACATCTCCCGTGCTCCTGAGCAGGGACCAAGAAAGGCTGGTTGCTGGCCAGTAGCTCTGGCCCCAAGCCTCACAGCGGTGGGGCCACTGCCCAGAAACAGCTTTGGTCTGGCTTTCCCTACCAGGGGCTGATTGGGGTGGGCAAAGTTAGGAGAAAGGTTGGATCTCCCTTCTTGAGCCCTGCTGCTTGCAACCAGAGAGGCTGCAATGGGAGGGCACTTTTGGGCGGTGGTTGCCCACAGAATCACAGAGTCACAGAATCTTCATGGTTGGAAAGGACCTCTGAGATCACCGAGTCCAACCATACACATACAAAAGACCCCCACAATCTCAAGCAGTAGAACATGCCCTGAAGTCCACATCTACACGTTTCTTCAATACCTCCAGGTATTTAAGAATTCTCAGCCACCTCCCATGCTCCCCACCACCCTGCTGTGCTCCCCACCATGCTGCTGTGCTCCCCACTGGAGGCTGCAGCCTCCTCCCTCCAGCCCTGGGAGACCTCACCATCCATTCCCCTGAGCCCTAAGGGGTGGTGGAGCAGTGGGGCAGGCACCGTGTCCCCCTGCACAGAGAGAGGACATGTCCCCGGCAGGAGGTGACGTGCAGTGAGGGGTGCCCGGGGATGGGGTGCAGCAGGGAAGCTGTCTGCACAGGAGGGGGGGCTTGCAGCAAGGCCTGAAGTGGGGTACTCTGGGGGTGTCAGATCGGGGGTGCAGTGGGAGACAACAGCAGAGGGGGTGCGGGGGGGG